ATAATACGTTTCTTCGGGAACCTGAGCTTTGTTGTTGCAACGGTCCCTCACTTTTGTTCCACGACAAGTCTTGAGTTCACCCTTCACCGCTGTTGCCGGCTCTTTCAGATCGAGGAGATCAAAGACCTCAAGGCAATCGTGCACATCACCGAATTTTCTGAAATGCAGATCTGAGTGGGGCACGTCAGTCAGCCGGACGGACTGAGGCATGATGTAGTAGAACTCTTCCTTTACCGCTGTCCACCGCTTTTTGGTTGCCGCCTTCCATATCTGCAGAACTACTCCCTTCCAGACTTGTTGGGACTTTGCCTTCCACTGAGCGACGATGATCTGCATTGCTACAAGCCGAAGCTCCTTTCCAACCAGTATGACGTAGATCACGTCCACTGCTTGCTCGTTGAAAGCCAGTGGACCCAATAGAACGCCTTGTGTAAGCTCCTTGGTTCCCAGCTCGTTAAGAGCAGTTGCCTCTGAGCCGTGTGCATATGTCCTGAAATGCCTGAATGTATATCCAAAGACGCTCTTCTGATATCTCATCACAGCTATCACCAAGCTTTCGACGTTCCAGGCGATCCGGGCAGGATTACGCTTTATCACGTCTTCGTCATCAGGCTCCTGACAGTCGACACTAATGGCCTGAGCCCAAGTCTCAATGTCACTCAACAGTAATGAGCTTTGCAGATTCTCATGTTGGTCCATAATGTACAGCTCCGCCTGACTGCGTACGTAGGGGCTCAGAGGACGAAAGAGGCCAATACCACCATTTTCATCCTCCTCCTTATAGAAGCAAGTGAAATCTGTGAGACCAAGTCCCAGCTCGTGACTGAGTTCTCCCCAGATGACCAGCTCCAGGGCACCACGAAGCTGCTTCTGCGTCTTGAGCAAGCCAATAAATCTCTTGAACAGCTTAGACGTATACATGCCTCTGATCTTCCCTTCAAAGACTCCCTCATTCCCCTTAGATTCCTCATAAAACTCGAGAAGAAGTGGAATGCCCCCGGTTAAACGATCTGCATGCTGCAGCTCTTCTACCGTTAGTGTCGACTGTGCCATCCACGTTTCCATCTCGCGGCTGGTGTATGGACCATCGAAGAATTCAGTCTGTATGTGATCGTCATCCTTGTCACTCTCCGACCATATCTGCCTTTCCCTGCTATCAGCCGAAGACAGCATGAGGAGCTTGTGGGTGAAAGCCGCAGAGGCCAAGTCCGCAGAAGAGACGCTATTCGCCTCGAACTGATCCCAGTCATCCACTACGAACAACAAGGCCCCCCGCTTCTGCTGGCGACACCACGACTTAAGTTCATCGATCGAAGTCATTGAGGAGAGTGAAGAAGAATCGCCAGATGCCACAATCAAGGCTTCCCTGAGGACCAAAACAGGTTCCGCAATGTAGCGCAGCACGGAGATATAAGCTACACTCATCATCTGAGAGCCAACGAGGTAGCCAGAGATGGTGGATACCACTGTACTCTTCCCAGTACCTTTGGCACCTAAAACCTGCATATGTTGCCTTGCTCTCATGCTCGTCATCGCACCATACAGCCTCTCTGCACCCTCCCTTCCTACGTACTTGTATTGGGCTGTAAGGTTGGTGGCGAAATTCGTCGTAGGGCGGAGAAGCTCCCACACTTGACACGGATCCCACAGGAAGCTTGGATCTCGCCCAAAATACAAACCCGCAAGAGCATTGCGGAGAGCCGTAGGGCCTAAGTCCTCAAGCGCCTCCGCGCTGCGCTTCAGCGGCAGTGACATTGTTGTTGCCAAAAACCTTAATGGTGAATTAAGTTCTGTAAAGGTTCTTTGCACTAAATACTTATGCCAAAGTTCCTGACTTTCATACTTTCATGTGAAGTGATGCAAACTTCTATTCATCAACTTTGAAGAATGTGTAGGACAGGACTAGATTTGTTATATCATCCATGCGGGGATCCGTCGCAAACTCTGGATCCACGTAGAAGAATACCTGCAAAGGAGACACGGTAACAATCTGGCAATGGACTTTGTTTTTGATTTTTGTTCGAACTCACGGGCATGTCTATCTTTTCTCCTGGTTGAAGCCTCTGTTCCTCAAAGCAGAAGCACTGTATCTTATTGAAATAGACGGCCGCCTGGAAAAATCCCAGTGTGAGCTACTTTGAAGGCGGGATAGTTCTCGTCAAAGTACCTGCATTGGCACCACATTGTATGTTGAAACACCGGTTATAGGCTCCGAACTGAGATTCTCGGCCGTGAAAAACGCCAGTGAGCTCTCACCGGGTCTCACCTTCACCTGAACAGCAAAACAAAACGAGTGACTAAACTCAAGAACTGAAGTTACCGTTCTTTGACACGGCGTGAATCTCCATTGCAACTTATCGGAGACATCCGTGTTGAATTGCACGACAATCTCGCTGCAAAGAAAGACGAGCAAATGAAGAAACGAATCACAGAATGCTTGAGAAGGAAAGAGAAAGATCACACCGAGTTACTGGAGCGTCTTCTTTAGCATGGCGAGCGATCTTTTCCTCCACAGACTGCAAAATGGCCATCACCAATCAAGCACAGAAAATGGTAAAAAAACAAAAAAAAAAAAAAAAAAGGAAGGAGAAAGAAAGTTACCTCTTTTCTTTGGATTGTTCCACCATAGCCAGTTGCTTGGCAAAACCTCCGATAGAGTGGCACCGAGGCGTACGTGAGACCGACCATTCCAATCACCACCGCGCTGAGATACATTAGAGTCGTTTGCGTCTTGTTTGGCCTCTCTGTTGCCCCTGGCGACGCTGATGCCCTGGCCGCGAAGTAGCGCGATGCCGTGTAGCTTGGCAAAACGATCGACTCAGCGAGAATTTCGAAGAAAGATCACGATATCCTCACCGGCATTCAGTCGATCGCGCGGCATCGCGCAGCGCCCACGCCCTCGCCCTCGGCGCCAATCGCCCCAGCATTTTAGAATTTAGGGCTTTTCCCCCTTGGGTTTATCCGTACGGGACAAACGTACGCTTTGGCCCATCACGTCAGCTGTTCGAATCCTTGTGGCGTCACTTAGGGTTCTTGTGTCAGATCGCTTGGTTGTTGCGCGGCAAAGAGATCAGTCCTCCATTCCTTTGGTACTCTGCAATCTCCCAGGTGCCCTGCGATGGTTTGCGATGGATTGGGGGAAATCTATCCTCCAGCGCGCCTGATTGATTCGCCGCAGCGCATAAAGATCGAGGTAGGGAAATGCCAGGACATCGTTTCCCCTATTCTTCCTTTGGAGGTAATTTCTTCGTTCTTCACATAATCTTCTCAGACTCACCACGCCTAGCTTCAGATTTGCGCTCTAGGATCTATAGAGCTATCTCGAGAGGTATAAAGAATCTCTAGAATTATCTTATTGATGAAAGATCTTTGCCACATTTTTTTGCTTGAGACTAACTATCTCACTTTTACCACCAGTGGTGCAGCCATTTCGCTGGACAGCTTGAGAACTTCGGTGAGATCAACGGGATGGGCTGGGTCGACCTGGAACTCAAACTTGTGAACCAACCGAGCCGTCCAGAGAAGAACAGTAGCGAGGCCGAGAGCTCGTCCGGGACACACTCGGCGACCAGCTCCGAATGGAGCGAGACGTAAGTCAGTTCCTTTCACGTCGACGTCCTGCTCCAGAAATCTCTCCGGGCTGAATTTCTCAGGCTCGGACCAGATGGATGGATCGTGAGTGATGGACCACATGTTTACCATGGCCGTGGTGCCTGCAGGGACGTGGTGACCGGCCAAGGTTACGTCGTGAATCGCAAGCCGAGCCCAAGAGAGCAAGGGACCCGGAGGATGCATCCGAAGAGTCTCCTTTACAACGGCTTGGAGGTACACCATCTTGTGGAGGTCGGACTCGGCAACTTCGGATTTTCCTCCAACTACGCTAGCGATCTCCTCACGCAACTTGCTCTGGATTTCAGGATGGAGGACGAGCTCCGCGAGAATCCACTCGGTGAGGAGAGCAACGGTGTCAGTGCCTCGGAAAATCATCTCCTGTGAAGACACGTAGACGTGAGTCACAAACGAAAATGAGAATTGAAGACTCTTACCCAGAGGACTGCGATCATGTCGGAATCGTTGAGCTTGTCTTCGCCATCAAGTGAGAGAAGCACATCAACAAAGTCCGGCCCAGCAGCTTTGTTGTCGAGCTGACGATGCTCGTCGATGATATTCTGCACAAAGCTCGTCACGCGGGGAACCAAAACGGCACACCGCTGGAGGATGTTCTGGGGATCGACTGCCTTGAGAGCTGGCAAGTGATCGGCCCAGTTGAATGCACCGAGCAGCTCGAATCCTTCCCTCACCATCTCAGAAAGCTGAGCAGCATTTTCAGAGCCATCCTCGAACCTCCTGCCGAACACCGTCTGCATGATATTGTTGAGCGAAGCTCGCTGGAGAAAGTCCCGGACTCGGACAAGGCCGTGGTTGTCTGCTGCAAAGGTACTCATGGCTTCGATCATCCTGCTTGTCTCTGCCTGACGAGATGGTTCGTGAGCAGCAATCTGGCGTGGAGAAAACAGATAGTTGGAGGCAATCCTTCGCAGGTTACGCCAGTAATCTCCATAGGGAGCGAAGCCGATTGCTCGTCCAAACAGGAGCTGCTGAGCCGACTGCTTGAGGGGCCTGTCCGCGAACTCGGAACTGTTGAGCAGCTCTCGTGCTACTTCCGGCTTGCTGGTGATGATCATCCTCGTGTTACCCAGGCTGAAGGCCATGAGCTCCTTTGCATGGTGCTTCTCGGCAAGCGCGGCCAACTTGCGGTGAGCTTGGCCTCCCATCTCAGTCAAGACTCCAAGCACTGGCCATCCTCGGGGTCCCGGGATCGTCTGCTTCCTCTTCAGCGTCCTTCCCCATGCATTGCCGCCAGGAACAAACCAGGAAGCCAGGATCGCCGAGACAGCAGCTAGAACAAAAATGGCCACAGCAGCGACAAATCGCCATGCATGATCGTTGGCTTCAGCAGACAGATGCCGGGAGCAAAAAGGCAGAGTGAGGATCCACCAGTCGAATCCAGAAGCCGACTCCATGATCAGAGCACTCACTTGGAGAGAAAGAAGAGAACCCGAGGCAGGAGACTGAGATATGAAAGCTCTCGCGGCATGGGTCTTATATAGTGACCAAGGAGGAGATTACTTTGCGACTGGTGGCTCAAGAGGAGTGCTCCAAATTGGTAATTACTCCGAGGTAAGCATTCCACTTTTCTGGTTTCTTTTTGCTGGCTGTGCTGAAATTTTACTCTTTTTCTGGCTTGTGGAAATTTACTGCTTTGTGTCGTTTGGTTAGCTTGCTCAGTGGTCCCTTCCATGTTTGAATTACTCTTGCTTGCCTGGGGGGAGCCAGCCATGATGAATGTGCCCTGCGCTTTCGCTCAGTATTTTGTCGGTGTTGCAGATTACGCACTGTGGATGGGCTTGAATTCGCTTGTACTGTACACGAGCGCAACAACAACTAGAGAGGCTCATCGCATGTAAGTCATATGTTCGTCATGTGTGCTGAAATAAATACGTTGGTTGTTTTTATAGCTCGGAGCCAAGGACTGGGGGAGCCTCTCGCCTCATTCATTGAGAAGATGAAGTTCAGGTGTTTACATCAGAAAAAACAATTGACATACACTTTTCTAAAACCTCTATTCTTTTCTTCTGTAGATGTCCATCTGAACCGAATACAACTGGGAAGAGTTACTTAAAGCCAAGAGCTTAAAGTTTCGTTCTTACAATTTTTCATACAAAAGCTGCATACCATCACCTTGGCGTTGCGAGAGCTCTCAGAGGTACTTTCTTCCGTAGAGTTATGACAAATGCATCCTCCATGTCCAGGTTCTCCTCGCTCACCTCCCACTTAAATGCCTGAATCAATCTAGCCAGGGTGATTTCCACCGTTTTCGGTCCCAAGTTCATCCCGGGACACATTCTTCTCCCGGATCCAAATGGTAGAAGCTCAGTGTTTCCCTTTCACATCAACTGTGCCTTCCGTAAACCTTCAGGATTAAAAATCCCTGCAGACTCACCCCACCACCTTGGATCTCGAGCGATCGACCAGATGGTAATCAGCCTTCTTGTTTTCGCAGGGATGGCGAAGCCGTTTACCTTGCAGTCTTAGAGGAGCTGGCGGATGCAAGCGGAAGGTCTCCTTGACCACGGCTTTGAGGTATTTTAGTTTGGAAAGATCGTCTTCGTTTACGTCTCTACCGCCGCCAACGATTAGATCGATCTCATCTTGTGCATTGGCCATGCAGGGTTGATTTCTTATTAGCTCCGAGAGTGCCCACTCCATGGCGATAGCCGCTGTGTCAGTTCCTCCGGCAAGTACGTCCTGGCACACCCGTTTTAAAATGGATCATTAGCTTCCAAACTATTGAAAAGTTACCATGATCATGCCTTTCAGACAATCGTTGTCAAAGTCATCCAGTGACAGCATCACGTCGATCAGATCTGGAGCTTGATTGTCAACTTTGTCGAGAGGTTTGCCATCTCCTTTTCTCACCGGCTTTAGTTTTGACTTGTGTTCATCAATGATCCTTTGCAGCACCTTGTCCAGTTGCTTGTGTGCTGCTTTCATGGCTCCAACTGCGTTTTGGTAATCCAGCCAGCCCAAGAAGGGGAGATAATCGCCCAAGACGAAAGCTCCCATAAAATCCACTGCCTCTCACACCAGCTCCACAAACAGTGAGTCCTCAAATCTCTCGTTGAAAGCCATGGATAAGTTCATGTTCATCATAGTCAGTTTGGCAGCCATATCAACCGGGAGCTCTCCACTGCGGCCGATGGAATTAATAAGGTTCGAAATTCTACTCGCTCTTAGATCTCTTGAATCTTCCACTCTCTTTGCAGAAAAGAGCTCCAAGTTTGCTACAATTCTCATCATCCTCCAATGGTCACCATATGAAACATAGGAAACATGCTCGGCAACTGAGATCTTTGGCCTTGATGGAAAATGGATGTCATAAGTGGAGAGAAAAGCTTTTGCTGCATCTGGGGAGGACACCACAATGGTTGGAACTACACCAAGTTTGATACTCATGATGGGACCAAATCTTTCAGAGAGTTTGGACAGGGATTTGTAAGAGTGAGGTCCTAGCAAATGCAAATGCCCAATAAGTGGAAGTCCATTTGGTCCTGGTGGGAGATTTCTTCTTTGTGAGCAAAAATGAAGAGATACCAAAAAAGATGATTGCAGTGATCATATCCATGCTTTACTGAAGAGCATTACTACCTCAGTGTCAATTATGGGTGGAAAAATTATTGTGACAAGCCACATGGAAAGTTCGATGAAGAAAAAAGCGCGAAATGCAGCCGTTCGATGGACCTTTGCCAAGAGCCCTAGAACCAACGGCTGGCATTCATTTGTTTCGCGCTCGAAGAAAAATCACATAGCCTTGATAAAGACCGTAGAGTTACCTACGCTCACCTCCCACTTAAATGCCTAGCCAGAGTGATTTCCACCGTTGTCCGTCCCAAGTTCATCACGGGACACATTCTTTTCCCGGATCCATAGAAGCTCAAAGTGCTTCCCATACCTCTCAGGATTAAAAATCCCTGCAGACTCACCCCACCACCTTGGATCTCGAGCGATCGACCAGATGTTAATCAGCACTCTTGTTTTCGCAGGGATGGTGAAGCCGTTTACCTCGCAGTCTTGGAGTGATTCGTGGGGAGCCATTAGAGAAGCCGGCGGATGCAAGCGGAATGTCTCCTTGACCACGGCTTTGAGGTATTTTAGTTTGGAAAGATCATCTTTGTTTACTTCTCTACCGCCAAATATTAGATCGATCTCATCTTGTGCTTTGGCCATGCAGGATGGATTTTATGAGCTCCGAGAGTGCCCACTCTGTGTTAATGGCCGCTGAGTCAGGTCCTCCAGTAAGTACATCCTGGAATACAGCCGTTTTACGATGGCTTATCAACAGACTCTTTCCTTCTTGCCCTCTGCGATGTGGATGCTGCATACCTTCCATCTTTCAGCGCTCCGGACCGATATTCTTACCTTAAACCGCACAGGATTAGTGGGAATCTACGTTGTTTAAGCTAACCCAGCCTTTACTTTAGTGCACATATAAATAAGATCAAGTCCTTTAGGGTCATACGAGCTATGGCGAGAGCAAGCAAGAGAAGTAGAGAAGACGATGGTATCATGGTGCTGAAAAAGAAGCGTCGACTGAGAAGCGAGAGGGCTTGCAAGCTCACGGCCCAAGAGGTGAGGGATCAAAACTTGTACGGCGTGTGGGAGCACCACGACCTGCCGGACAACGTGTACCAGTGCCCAAGGTGCCAATCTTACAACACGCGGTTCGATTACTACAACAACGAGAAGAGTACTGGCAAGCGCGACCAGCCGCGCTACGCTTGTAGGTCGTGCAAGGGAAAATGGACACAAGGTGGCAAGGTAAGGGACGTATCGCTATCGCCCACTGGTGGAAATAAGAGAACTTTAAAGAGCCATGGAAGAGACAAGATCACTCCAGTCGTCCAGGAAGAATTTGTAGGCGAATCATCTCAAGTTATGGGTGATTGTGTTGCGGGTTTTGATCAAACTACTTATTGGGAGCAAGGTCATGGTCTGGGTGATTGTGCCCAACCTTTATCTCACGAGGCTTTTGATCAAAACAGTTGTTGGGAGCTTCTGCCAGCCTTGGGTCAAGGACCTGTTGGTGACTGTGTGCAAAAAGTGTTTGCTCAAGCTAGCGAGCTTGGCGATGGAGTGTTTGCTGATCAAGTTAGTCAGGAGTTTGTTGGTGGGGTTGAAGGTGGAGATGTGCAAACCAATTGCTGGGGACAACCTCAAGAATTCAACGATGTGTTTCTTGATATTGAGGGATTTCTGGCAGACCTGCCAGAAATACAGGCTTGCTGATTCATGGAAATTTTTGTCAAAAGAAAATTTATAGTTGGATCCCAGGGTTTCCAGGGAGTTTTCATTTGTTTGATGAGTAGAAGAGAATTATATTTCAATCTCTATGTCAAATAATTTAGAATATGAAAAGCCGCAAGGATAAGAAAAAATATATACTTTTTCTTTCTCTCTTTCAAAATAGTTTCCTGTCCACCAGTAAGCCGACGAAGGAGCTCACAGAAACCGCGACAATGGTTGCTCCCAGGAACCCGGAGGAAGCCTTGCCCTGCTTTCCCACCACTTTGTCCTTGCCACTGCTCGTCTCCTCCTCCACAACTCCCGCGGAAGGAGCCGCTCCTTTCCTCCTCCTCGGCATTGCTTTGAGAGCTCCGGTATCAAAATCTCTGGAGATACTTCTCGTCTGTGACGAAGATGAAAATCCATGTCTTAGCAGCAAGCGAGGAAGAAGGAGAGAAAATTGTAGAAGTGTGGTTCCTTACCTCGACTTCTTCAACGGCTGGCTCCGCCGGACGAGTCTCCAACTTCTTGGCAAACGCTCCATTTACGTGGATCTCACTCAGCTTCTTACGAAGATCCTCTCTCTCGCCTTTGATACTAGATATCTGGCGTTCATCACAAAGTATTAGGAGGAAAGAAGAAGCCCAGGCAAGAGTTACCTCATTATCCAGCAGCTGCTTTTCCTTGGAAAACTCTTCGCTCATCGCGCTTAGCTTGGCGAGGAGCGACTTGGTCTCCGATGCGTAGCCATCTCGCTGCTGGGCCTCGCTCTCCTGCCTTCGCGAGATCGTCTTCTCCTGCTCAGAAATGAGTCGAGCTGCTTCGTCCAGTTTTTCCTCCAGAGAGCTCGCCACACCTTGGACCTTCGCGAGCTCTGCTTGAAAGTTTGATGCCATAGCCTCGGCTTCCTTCTCGAGCTCTTGCACCTTCTTACTTTCAGCGTCTTTGGATCTCGCAGCCTCTTGTTTGGTGGCCTCGAGCACTTCCTCCGTATTAGCCAGCTTCTCCGCCAGCTTCTCGATGGTACTCTCGAGAGCGGCGATCTTCTCCGCTGCGGCTCTCTGGCTCTCCCCTGCGTCAGCCTGATGCTTTGCGGTAGCTTCTTCTGCGCTCGAAAGCTTGCCTCGCAGTTCTGCCTCGGCTTGGAAAGCCGACTTGAGAGTCTCCTCTTGGCCAGCCAAGGTCTCTTTCAAAGCTGTCAGCTTGGAGTTCACAGCCGAGAGCTCCTTCTCTCTTTCCGAGGCCACCTTTTCTCGTTCGCCCGCTGTTGCCTCGTGCATTGCTGAAGTTTCTTCTGCGAGCTTGAGCTGTTGACGTAGCTCCGCCTCGGTGTCAACAGCCGCCTTCAGAGTTTCTTCCTGGCTTGCCAGAACCTTCTCTAGAGATGCCAGTTTCGAATGTAAACTCGACATCTCCTCCCCCAGCTCCGCAACCTTCTTGTTGGAGACGTTGGCGAGCTCTTCGTAATGCGCCGATTTGCTCTCGGCAGCTTCGACGCTCCCTTAAAGTGTCACATGCATTTGACGAGAGCTCTCCACAACTCCTTCGAGCTCGGAAGCCTTTGCCGTGTGAGTGGAAAGTTCTGCCTGGATTTTACGCAGCTCTCGAGGTATGGTTCAAGCAAATAAGAGAAACACTTGGAATCTTTTAGAGCAGATCGAGGACAAACTTGCAAGTTTGGAAGTAAGATCGATTAGAGAACGAAAAGGATAGAAGAGAGAGAGAGAGAGAGAGAGAGAGAAAGATTTTAAAACCTCTGATCATTCCGGACAAAGCGTCTGGACAAAAGCAACACTGACAGAATCTACTAACAATCGTCGAGAAAGCAGCGAGATTCTCTTCGCAGTACGCACCTCAAAACTCGAGATTCAAGGGGTAAATTGTCTCTTTTTCAACCTTATTGAAGCGGCAGGGGATTTTTAATCTTTTGTTCACAGATTTTCACAGTGACTCTTGTCCCCCGTGTCGCGTCTCTCCGCCAGCTTCACTGTTTTCTTTCCCGAGAGCACCGCTTCTCCTCAGGCGAACCCCGTGACAAGTCTAGGATTTACAAACGTAGAACATATGAGGAGAATATATGGTCAAATAATTTCTTAGTAATTAATCTAATTTTTACGTGTAGAGCTCACGAGACATTTCGAGTTTTCGTGTGTTGTGGCAGTAAGAACCTCAACTCGTGATAACGCGTGATTACCTCGTTGGCAAGGCAAAGAGATTGAAACCTTCTATGCTTCTTTCTTTAGATCTCGATCTCCTAATCGCCACTATATAGGTATCTTGGTCTACCTCAATCTTACTCGCTTTAGCTTACCAAGTAAAAATACGGATGCAAGCACAACATCGCATTTAACTTATACAAAACTCCGTGTACAAGCTTACACAAGGCTGTCATTGCACAACAGCAAGGCTGGAAGAAGCACATTGCATATATATATAAATCAATCTGGTTTACATGTGACCATGGTTTTAAGTGTAAAGATTGCTCCAGAGTGAAAAAAAGGGGAGCATGTGATCTGGCTCTCGTTTACTTGGGCAAAGTCATTTGCAACACTATCAAACTAGTGACAGATGCAATATGGCCTCCCAACTCTCATTGCCCATGCAAACATCAATAAAAATTTCCCAGAAGCATAACATGCCCCTCACCATTGTAGATATATTATATTTTTTATTATTATCTATACTATTTTAGACTAGTTTGCAAGTTGGCAACAAGTATATAAATAAAATTTTTACATAAATAAATAAATAAATTGCTATGCGTCAACACTTGGTTTGCTTAATAGTAGTGTTATTCTTACTTATTAATCCAATTCATCAAATAAAGTTTATAATTATAAGCATGTTTGTAATTTATAAACACAAGATTAATCTTATTGCATATCAATCATTAGATGATAGAATAAAAAGGATATAATAGAAAGTTTATAATAGAAAGTTTAAGAAAGTTTATAAATTATAAATATGTTAAATACAAGATTAATCTAAATGATGGTAGAATATCCTGGAATATCAAAGTATATTCTAAGTATATTCACTACCATCCCCTATAGGTTTGCTTAACCAAACCAAAAATAAGAAACAAATTCAACTTTCCAAACATTTATCATCAAATTTAAAGTTAGATATTTTGATTTATTTTTATTTTTATTTAAAAATTAAAATCTATCAAATTACTAGATTTATAGCATTTTTAATTCAAGTCTTTTTTTTACATATGTTTATCAGAATATAATTGTGTGGAAAACATTAAAAAAAAGTATTCATTTACTAATTCTACTAGTAGTACTACTTTATCTCCTCAATATTCAAGAAGAGCACTATTTTGCTATCTCTTATAGAGGTCAAACTTTAATAAATATCCAACTTCTTACTGAAGCTCATATAGCACTTATTAATCGTTTTGAGAATCATCAAAGAACCCCTCAAACTTATGTTGAAAATACGATTATGCTTCACAATGTTAATTGACAGAATACATTCATTTAAGCATTTAATGATTTATGGGATAACTGTCTTTAAAATGTCAACCCCGTTTCGACTGCATCCTGATGGACCAAGCGATCACGCATCCAGAGTGCTCAGTTCGAGTCAGCATTCACTCCAAACGGGGTTGGTATACTTAAGGTTAAAAAAAGAATATATATGAAATTTGAAATTTTATGCCACCTTTATTTAAGCTCTTATACATAGTTGCCAATTTTTTCAGAATTTTTGGTTTGCTTAAGTAAACTTGTAGGGGTAATGAATATATCTAGAATATACTTGAATTTTCTGGGATATTCTACCATTTAACAGTTGTTATTAATTTATATTTAATCTTGAATTTATAATTTATAAACACGTCTACAAATTATAAATTTTCCTAAGCAGTTCCTAGTATATTCTAATTTATTCTACTATTTAATGGTTGATATATAAATAAATTATAAAATTCCATTTGATCAACTAGATTAAAAATTTGTTGTGCATTGCATGCAGCAAAGCTTGGTTTGCTTAATAATAGTGCTTATTACTTATAAATTATATTGATCAATTGGAAGGTTATGATTATAACATGTTTATAATTTATAAACACAAGATTAAATATCAACTTTCAGAATAAACTAGAATATGCTAAAAAGTGTTTAGGAATGTTTATAAATTATAAATACATCATACTCCCTTATTTAAACGTGCTATTGGCATATGGCATCCGGCATCTTTTATTCCATTTTTAGAATATTATTTCTGAATATGCTTATAATCTAACGGTTCAAATTCAAAAACTTCAAATAGACGGCATAGATCAGTGTTTCTGAACGCGAGATAAAAGCAGCTCTGCAGCTGCTTGCCTCTTTCTTTTTCTTTATCCTCCTTTTCTTTTT